GAGCGATGAAAGATCACCCAGGTGACCTGACCCGCGTCACGGTGTCACCGGGATCGAAGTTGGTGTCACCGGGCACATATCAGGACCATGGAAGATCTGAAAACCAAATGGTCCTGATAAAGCTCAGATCAGATACCAAGTTAGAATACATCGTTACACATCACATCAGCACATAATACCCATATCAAACTAAAGGTATTATGATGTATTAGCTTAATTTCTGAAAATCAAATGGGTTCCATGGCATTTCCCTACACACCCCCGTTTCGAACAACAAAATGCGGCTGGGTCAAAGCCCTTATGCATCTCAAAAGTCAACCAGCAATTTTCATAACTAAACATTATCACCTACAATGTGGGGCCCTCCAGTTATAAGTTGCTTCCTTTGAAACCACGAACTAGTTTGTTATAACTTAGCTACAACTACCATAAACCAAAGTGAAATTGGAGTTGTGTTTACCAACTTAGCTATCGTTTGGGGGAATCACACTGTAAGGTAACTATAGGATTTTTATGGATTTCTGACATGAATTAAAAAAAAATATATCAAAAAAATATAATATTAATATGTATTAACCAGAATCCAACTTACTAGTGGACTAGAGGCTGCCCCACATATTTCAGGCCACCGAGGTGCCATCCGATGCTGCGAAGAAGGCCTCACTTGTGCTGTCAGGTGGGGAAAACGGGAAAACATGGGGATGTCACCGTGAATTTGTTGAACATCTACAGTTAACCATGCTTTTCACCAGGGTTCCTATAGATGTTCGATGATGTTTCCTTAAATCAATCCAACGAGTATAGCAACAAACCTGTAAAACCATCATAGGGGTACGCCATGAATAGATTGAAATGCGTCCCTGTTGGAATTTCCCAGCTCATGGGGATCAAAAGAACAGCAACCAAAGGGGATAGCGGGGCTAGCGCTTCGCAAGTGATCTCATTGGAGCACGTCTAAACATGGAAGTCAGCAAGAACAGTCAGAACTTCTATAATATAGCCCACCAGATCCTTTGGTCAAACTCACATCCTCTGAATATGCAAAGATCACAATGGTTCAAAACGATCAAATCTTCGGGTGGCAAGAGACTAGGACGTGCTTGATGAAATGCTGCTCATTCTCCGACAACTTCTGCCAGTCTGCCATATCGTGCGCGAGGTCGATCTCCTTCCGCGCAAATATCGCATATATGTACATTGCACTTCCCGCGAATCACGGCCTTACTATTGGATTTGTTTGGAATTTCTGAGATCCAATATCTCTCTCTCTCTCTCTTTCTCTCTTTCTCTCTCTCTCTCTCTCTCTCACTCTCTCTCTCTCTCTCTCTCCCTCCCTCCTTCCTGCCCTTGCCTCACCTTCTTTGGCCTGCTAGGGCCTCCTTGCCTCAATCCGGCCTTCCAAGCTGCCTGGTCATGTATCTTTAAGGGGTGTCGAAGCTGCCCTGTGGCACTTTTGGTTCTACTAGGCCCACTCCTTGCCTGACCTTCTTTGGCAGGCTAAATCATACACCATGGTCATTGTTGGTTCACGGTGGTGCCCTCCGCCACAGTTTGGTTTGTAATCCCCCTTAACTAGTCCATTCAAACCCAAACGTTATTGGAGTTGTAAACGAACTTCGCTGCGCCCTAGTTATAAGTTGGTTTATATCTGCCATAAACCATACTTCCCCTAGTTATGTTCACCAACTTAGTCATCATAAATCAGCTATAAATCCCATGAAGTGTCCCAGTTCCGGCCTTCCAACCAGGCGGGGTCCGGAAGATGAAATGGCTGCGGCACATCCACTCCCACCCCCACATACAAGGGGGTTCGGCGGCACCTGGGCGACAGCCCATTCTATAATATATTCATTAATAATTGCCCATTCTATAATATATTCATTAATAATATGAGGGGATGGGATTGATCATGTTTCATAAGCCAGAAAAAAATATTTTGTTTGGATGCTCCACCTACAAAACCACCATCTGTGATCATGTCAGCCTGCGAGGGTGCTATAGCATTTATTTTACGAACAAATTTTGGGCCATGGGCATGCACCTTTCCATCAGTTCTGCAAAGGCCAAGCACCTTGCAAATTACCCGTGTTGTATTTTTTTTATGGGTTTGTCTGAAAACAGGGTACCCCCAATTCCAGTGACTATCATGATAAATTGCTATTTAGTATACCCTATTTTCAGACAAATCCATATTGCAGGTGGTTCACACCATCTTCCACCCATGTGTCACCATCCACAGATATCCACAGTCCTCTGCGGTCCAGAAGGAGGCCACGTGCTTTTTGTACATCTCATAGACTTTGGGATATTTGATCGGCAGCATGACCCATCTCCGGCTATTCTCCTGGCGACCAATGACATCCAACGACCAACTCTTATGACTTCACAGGATCCTGGGATATGTCTCAGGTTTGAAGAAAGATCAACAAGTTACCCTAGGACAGGATGAACCAACATAGATGTGCAAAACGAATGGTTTGCGTAGAAAAACGATCTACAAATTGATTGGGTTTTCCACATCTGTTAGTTTACAGGAGGGTCTCAATCACTTCTTCAATGGGATCCAAGTTGCTGGGGAGTGTTCATATGGCACACATATTATTCAACTGGCAGCACAGGATATATATATATATATATATAGTGAGAAAATCATCGTCTTTACGAATCACAATAGATAGATCATCTCCTTCATCGGTGCCGACGGGTCTGAACTATTATGTTTGTTCGTAATGGTCCAGTGTTCTAGAAAAGAATTGTGAATAAAGAGGTAGCTCAAACAGAAAAACACAATGTTTTCCCCTGGTGTTTGTAGCTATAGGTGGAGGTACACTGGTTCACTTCGTTAAATCCTATATTTTTTGCTTCTCAACTCCCTACCTCAATTATCTATCCAGATAGATCATCCCTATGGATCCAAATGGGTACTTGGCCCCATAAATGCCCAAATCTCCCGGAAAAGTATTTCGATATATATGGATCCATAATCCATAGGGATACATATATATATATATGGATCCATAGGGATATTTATGGATCCATAGGGAAAATAATTATATATATATACATTCATAGGGATGTATGGATATATATATATATGCCATGTATATATATATATGATTATATATGTATATGGATCCATCGGGATATCCGCCGACCCCAGCCATTGGCAGGGGGAGCGCGTCAGGAGCAGCGCTTTTCGTTCTTCTTTGTGCGAGGACAGCGTTTTGGAACTGCTTGCTTAGGATGTAGTTTGGTTTTAAAGGTGTCCCGGCGGCCTCTGCAGCGCCAGCAGTGTTTGCAACCTTTTGGTGGCAGCATCTCGTTCGTCCAGGGCCTTTGGTGGCAGCGTCGCATTCCTCCAGGGCTTTTTGCACCCGTTTACCGGGCGCCTCTTGTTTTTCTTGGCGTCAGAAAGCAACGTTAGGCACTAGCTTGGCTTCAAGCGCTTCCGGGCGCCCTCTGCGGCACTAGCTTGGCTTCAAACGCTCCCAGGCGCCCTCTGCACCTTTCCCGGCGGATCTTGCAATGTTTTGGTGGGCAACATCCCGTTCTTCGCACTATTTTGCCCATTTACCGGCGGATTTTGCAACCTTTTGGTGGGCAACATCCCGTTCTTCGCAGGCCACCCTGCGCAGTACTTTGCCCATTTACCGGGCGCCTTTTGAGTAGTTTTTCCTGGCGTCAGAAAGCAACGTTAGGCACTAGCTTGGCTTCAAACGCTTCCGGGCGCCGTCTGCTTTGCCAGGACCACGGCACAGACGCACGTGCCCCATCCTCGCCCTGGCGGCTTCTAAGTCAGCATGCCGCTCCTCGCCACATCGAGGCTGCAACTCAAGGAGCTCAACACATCAATGCAGCCGTGCAACTCAACCAACCACAAGGGCCCATCCATACTTGGTGTGGCCCGAAAGAAAGCAGGGCAGGAGATGAGAAGATAGCACACAAGAAAATATGACGATGAATGCTGCTGGTGAGGAGCTTTTTACACAGATGCGTTTACACACAGAAGCTTTTAGGCACAGAAGCTTTTACACAGAGAAGTCTTTATACAGACTGGCTTTTACACGCAGAAGCTTTTACACAGAGAGAAATCTTTACACAGAGGAGCTTTTACGCACGGAAGCTTTTACACAGAGAAGCCTTTACACTAAGGAGATTTTGCACACAAACGCGTTTACACTGTTTACACAGAGGAGCTTTTACACACAGAAGCTTTTACACAGAGAAGTGATTACACAGAGAGCTTTTACACACAGATGTGTTTGCACACAGAAGCGTTTACACAGAGAAGCCTTTACACAGGAACTTTTACACACAAGGGCGTTTACACACAGAAGCTGTTACACACCGATGGTGTTGCACAAAGAAGTCTTTACACAGAGAGCTTTAACCCACAGGTGCGTTTACAGACAGATTTTTTTACGCAAAGAAGTCTTTACACAGAGAGCTTTTACACACGGAGGCTTTCCCACACAGAAGTTTTTACACAGAGAAGTCTTTACACAGAGAAGCTTTTACACGCGAAACTTTTTCACACAGAAGTTTTTACACATCCATGAGCGTGTTCAAAAAAGCATAAGGAATATATTTCTGAAGCAGCGGGTCCTCATTCAATAGCTTTCAAGCCCACCCTGCGATGACATCGAGGGTCAAGCAATCCGGCGGAGCCGACGATGAGCATCAGCTCTAAAATATATGGATCCATAGGGATATATTTGGATCCATAGAATTGGATCCATAAAGATATATGGCAGTGTGTCAAAACCAATAGTACCCCTTCTGTTCACATCAAAATAGCTGGGATTTATGGATGTTCATCCCACTAAAAATGGTATTAATAGGTATTGATCCATACCCATATTTGGATATATGTTTCGATCGAGCATGACTCAAAATCCCAGGGAAATCGGATCCCTCTCCGTGGCCTGCAGCAGCGGCTCAGATTTTTCCAGCGCTTGAAACTCTTTGGAGACGCGGCAGGGGACGGCCATCGCCGCCATGGCATGTGGAGCAGCGATCAGCGATTTACAGAGAAAACAACGGTTGAAACCATGGTTTCTACATGTTTCTACCCCGAAACCGTGGGGTTCAATGAATTCTTGTAAATTACTCCACCAGTTTTAGGACTTGTCAAAATGTAGATGAAGAAGGAACAAGTGAGATCAACTGTCTCATGCTGCAAAAAATATGCACAAACTTATTTCACCATATCATGGGAACTTCCAATAAGATTCAAGCATGTTGGAACCAACATCCACATGTTTAACCTGTATATATTATTTCACATTTCCCATAAAGTAGGTGACTTGTGTTCGATGTTCATGGCAGTCCTTAATCTGGCCTTTTATCATAATGTCAGCAAATTTCTGTGCCAAAACCGACAGGTCATCAGTGATGGCACCGGAATAAACTGCAGGTGCATCTTGCCATCGTTTTATCTGTGGACTGTGCGCGCGTTGTTTGCGCGTAATGTGTCTGCTCAAAAGAAAAAGTTGGAGAAAACAAGGAAAGCCAATATAGCCAGTATGGCTAAGAATTCCTTGTCACTGTTCATGTTAATGTGCTAAACACAAACATACACTCCAATCCACTCCAACCGCTTCAATCCAAGTATATGAATCCTATTAAAACAAAAAATAAGGCTATAGATCTGTATAGGGTTGTTTGGTATTGGGTTTACGGTATTGTTCCCAGTGAGGCTAGTATAGCTAGGTTCATCTGTATTTTGTTTGTTCACAAATCCTCGAGTTGGTTTGTTTGATCCACATATATGTAAACGTTGACCCACATTATATACATCTACAACTACAGGTGTTGCTGGATCGAATCCATTCACCAAACTGGCAGAAAGACATTTCAGGGCAAGTCCCCATACAAAGCACATCTCCTTGATGTCACTAAATTCAGCCACAATGATACCACAATGCGTGTATATTATATAATATCATATACCCTATATATATATACATGTATACACATGAGATACTATATTATTATATCAAAATATATCAACTCGGCATAATATAATAATAATATATAATATATAATATTTAATAAGAATAATAATCACAATAATAATAATAATGCATAAGCATATTGATACGTCAACATGCTGCGCATGTCGAAGCTCCATAAATCCCCTGCCTGGTCCCGGTCCCTCCTCTTCGCCAATCTCCTGCAGACGTCTGGTTCACATGGGGGTGTATTGTTACGCCATCTGGTTACTTAACATAGCCATGGAAAATTCCTTATAAATGGAGGTATTTATGGGAAAAAATCTATACATGGGCCATTTTCCATGGCTATGTTAAATAACCAGAGGGTATAGATAATGGGTATATTATAATGAATGGATGATGCAAAAAAACGGCTACATAGGCTAAATATATCAACTATATCATTATAATGGGACCAAATGGGAACATAATCAATGGATATAGACTATAGATATGGTTATGCGGATTGTTTCATAGATGGAATACTGATCAAGGAATGTAAATTATGTGTGTTCAACCAGCAATACTTGGGGAACATCAACATGTCAAACATATCAAATATATCATATTCCCTAAATCCCTAAATCCCTATTAGGCCCTAAATTGCCAATCTTATGTTGGAAAATCATCCATGGGTACCCCCCTCAAAAAACGCTGCGATGCTGCACCCAGGTGTCTGAACCCATCCCGCCATCCCGAAACACCCCCACTGTATGATTCGTGAGTTCCAACAATATATCAATTAAAGATCACTATACATATATATAATTATATATATATTGTATAAATCATATACTTAGTAGGCTCCAAAAAACAGTCCTCAGTAGAACACACGAATTGATCACTGGGGCATCGCTCCTGGAGGAGTCGCTCCACCTTGCGATGATCCGCTTGCTCCAGGCTCTTGGCACGTTGCAGGGCCCCGCGTTGCTGGCAGTCGGACCAGTAATCCTCGGCCACCTAGGGACATCCGGGTGAAAATTGGATTTAAGCGGGAAACATGAGGAAAACAAATGACCAAGCCTGGGAATTGGAGAAATACACAGTTGCATAGTAAAAGTATGCAAAAGTGTAAGAGAACATGGAATGTGGCAACATCTTGGTGAAAAGTGATGAACACGGGAGAAAGCAGGGATGTGAACACGGCTCTGGGCTCAGGATGCAGAAATCAAACGGATCCCTTGATGGTCCCCTTGACGATCGAAATTCAGAAACTGCTAAGGCAGTTTACTTGTTAATGCTGGTGCCCCACCAGTTATGTTTGTTGGTTTATATATGTTTATATTGAACCCAATTACACATATATATATATGTGATATATATATATATACAATATATATATATTATCATATATCACATATATATATATATTACGATCATATATAGACTTAGTCATATCTACCATAGTGTCATTGGACTTATCTTCACTGGCTCCCTGGGCCTCCATCCAGTAGGAGATCAGTCCTGGCCGGATCTCCAAAGGATGGGATTTTATAGTGATTCAATTGGATATTAATGGGATATACCCTCTGGTTATTTTACATAGCTATGGTATAGATGGCCCATAGAAATAGTGGATTTACCCAGCTATAAAATGGTGGATCTTTCCATAGTTATGTAAACGTTTACCAGAGGGTACCACTACTGGTTGGTGGTTTTAACCCCTCTGAAAAATATGAGTTCGTCAGTTGGGATGATTATTCCATATATTATGGAAAATGAAAAATGTTTGAAACCACCAACCAAATATATACTGAACTTGAATTTATATCAACCCAAACATCCAAAATCATCCAAACAAGAGTTAGAAACATAGAATCCCACAAATACGGCACTTTTTGACACTTTTCAGTTTTTGGAGTTGCCATAGCCTTTGATACCGTTTGTATAGTGGGTGGTTAAGCCCATGAAATGAGGGTATCCGGGATATCTGAAGGGTACAGTATGCCTCAAACAAACAGTGCAGTACAGAATTCCCCTCTTCGATCCGATTCGTAGATGTTCTATCAAGTTCTATCCAGTCAAAATGATGACTTTTCTTTACCAACGTCTACGAACGGGTACAAGCAAGAAACAAGAGACTGCCTTGAAGTTGAGCCGCCGATCCAAAGCTATAGAAAGACACCATGCGACGCCGTGGAAGCTATCTAAAGCTAACCTGCGGTCTTACATCCCGGTACTCTCCAATCTACCTGGCAATGAACAATGCACCATTAAGTTATCCACTATTTATATCTGATTCCATTTAATTTCCAGGTGATTTTCCCATCAGAAAATGTGATTTCCCATTGCAATATCATGCCTGATGCCTCTGCCTGACACATGCCGGAAGGGCCACAATGATACTCAAGGACTGCCAACCCGGCGGCGAGCAGCATACTGCCCACCTGGGAAGTGAGGCGGCTGATTCTCAGCATACACCCTGGGTTTGTTGGTTGTAGCTATACATGGCTATTATTACCATGCTATACCAATATTCCCAAAAGGCACAGATATCCAGCGCCAATGTATATATATATATAATATATATATATATATATGGTTTTCTACTTGGTTACTCTATAGTATGTTGGTGGTTTCTTGATGGTCAAAAGACATCTCTTAACATCTCTTAACACTATTTTTGAAGGAGGCTTGATCATCGATTGTTGGTCGCTGAATCCATATTTTTGGTGGATAGATCAATTTCGTTGCTGGTTAAATCCCAAACTTGAGTGGTTAAAAGATGTTGCTGTGCAACCACCTCTTTTCGTTGGTTCACTTCCCCTTTGTATCGTTTTTGTTGTCGCTTCGGCCCGCACTGTTCGTGACTTGATTCAGAATTTCTGTGACTAAAAAACATAGTATGATATAATATGTTCAGTGGGCGAAAGAAGACTAAAACTACACCAAATCATACAATATTGGATTATCCAGAAAATCCCAATGAATATTATCCCATAGGTTATAAATCCTAATGATTGAGAGTAATCCCAATCCATGGTAATCAATATGAAAATATTATATAGGATTGCTGAACCATGATGAACCATGGGATTTTGGAGGTTTTTCCATTGCTTTTTCCATTCTCAGGTCATTCTCAGGTCCCCATTGGAGTCCATTGGAGCTGAGTTCTCCCGACGCCGAAGCCCTGAAGCATGGCGCGCCAGTTGAAGGACGCCGCGTCGCTGTGTTGCTTCGCCAGGACCTGTGACGATGGTTGGAAGGCTTTTCCACTCACCATCCCACTATGTCACTATGGGGCTACCCCCATGATGGAAATTTCCGGAAAATTGCTGGGAAACAAAACACTTGGGAGATATTTTGGGAAGATGGATTGAACATGGGGATTGAAGCAAGAAATGTGACAACAGGATGGGGATTAAAGATGTAGAAAACGTGAAGTCAAAACCAAAGATAAAATAAGAGATCAAATTGATATGAGCTACAACAAATCTACAAAAGATTGGCAGCTAAGCTGATAACATGCAAACCATTGTGGTTTAGAGACGGCCAAACAACTCAAAGCATTCTCGCCGTTGGCATTTCTTCCCTGAAAGTTGTCTCGAAGGCTGCCTTGTACTCTTGAAGCTGGATATCGTGTTCTCGCATGTAGTACCTCAATGCGAAAGATGGGCGTCAACTCAACGAAAATGGGAAGGAATGGGAAGATCTTGGTGATGGAACTTTGAGCTTTGATCCAAATCGGGCCAAGATCTGGATTTTGATGGGTCCTCCGACGCCAGCAACATCCATAGGGGTTGGTCTCTTGGCAGTGACGCCATGAGACCCACAGGGTCTAAGTGTGGCAAGTCCCGCTGATACCAACCATCCTGAAAGAAACATTGCTTCTTTTAGCACTTTTTCAAAATTTGGCCTCAAGAGGTAGTTTTGACTTTTGATCTCTTTTTACCATTCGATTGGGCGCCGAGGGCGCTGGCCCCTCCGAACAGCGGATGGCTACCGTAATCTTGGCTAGTACCTGAGGAGGTACAAAAACAGGCTAGGTAGACGATGTTCCTCCA